TGTCTACATCAGTACTTCTGTTCATTGAATGGTAATTGTCTACATCAGTACTTCTGTTCATTGAATGGTAATTGTCTACATCAGTACACTTGTTCATTGAATGGTAATTGTCTACATCAGTTCTTGATGCTCTAGTTCTGTGATTGGTGGTTGTCCGTGTCATATATATTGATAACTGATATTATGAACTTATGATACTCAGTTACTATTCTCTGTTCTTAGCACTCCCCTTCCTCCAGTTCCAGCAGAAGTTCCCTTAAAGAAGCCTCCACCAGACTCTACTAGTAATCGATCTTCTTCCTCAGGGTCAAGTGGGTATGGTCAGATTTTACCGGAAGGGTCAGATGAGGATGATTTTTATACCAAGCCTCAAGTATGTGCTACTTCCTGGTGTTAGATATATATTATGGAATGTGAACTGTCAGGTTTTTTTTAGTGCTAACAACTCTTTCATTATGAGTGTTTATAAGATTTTTTCCGTCACACTTGACCATACAAGATAATGATTTAGAAAATGTGGTGAATGTGCCGAAGTTTATACACCCACACAAGGTTTGAAGCATTTGAATATGCATTTACATATAATATTAATTTATTGTAATACTTTCGATTTATTTTTCACTTTTTTCGCATGATTTCTTCTCACTAAAAGCACCAAATTAGCGTTTCTTGTGGATTCTTGTTTTCCTTAGTTTTTGCCACAAATACAAAGCACTAGTTAGTTTTAATGGCACATAAATTTAACGTCTTTATATGCTTGTCAATAAGATCTTTGGAGAAAGATTACGATTAGTGACGTAGAATGTGAACTAAAACCTAGATATTACTACTGGTCTCTCGTGACCAGAAAAAGATGCCAGTATAATATAACGACCTAATATGATAGACAAAACAATTGTCATGAAATTTTGTGTTAACCTTTTGTCAGGACTATGCAGAGCCTAGGAGTATAGTTGACAGGCCTCTTCCCCAACCCCCTACACGAGCTCTAGGACTTTTACCCCCTGGTGGTCCCCCGCCTCTTCCTACTCGACCCCGCTCGGTCATCCTGGGTCCCTCAACTGATACTAGGGTAACTTGTTTTCAGAAATTGAATGTTATGTTACTTGTAGTGATGACGCCAGTGTTCACTGCATGATTGCTCTCATGTAACGTACGTAATCACTTTATATTAAATATTACCGAACTTTTCTTTTCTAAAATAAGGAATCTTCTCGTAATTAGTCTGTCAAATGTGTCGCCTACTTTATTTTTTTCGTGTTTCATCGTCATCTGTAATTAATGGCTATTAATTTTTTTAAGTTATGTAAGTAAGATAAGAATTTGATTTCTGATTTATTTTAAATGGGCATTTCATTTTGTTGTTCAATCTTAATGGATGTTTAGTCGTTCTTGTATGAATGATCGTTAAAATTTTGTTGCTATAGTAGGAAGTTAGGCATGATTTCAGTCATGAGAGCTCTGAAAAAATAATTCAGATCACTTGGCATGTTCATGGCATGTTTTTTAGCAATAGAAAATGGCATTTTATGTAATAAACTCCAAGATTTAAAAAATTCTCAAATCTAATGTTAGTTATGTTATGTAATAAAGTTTAGTTACATGCTACACTGGACATTGTATTAATTTAATACATATTTCGGTATAAACACATTAAAAATATAAATATATTATAACTATTATTATATTAAATAAGGCTTATTTGATTTGCTTTATGTTTAACAAAAACAAAGTCAAAATTACAAGATTTTTTTGTTTTTAACTTATGTCATCTCTTCATTCCTACAAACTTTGATTGTGAACAATGTTTGTTAAGATGTTATAAAAACATAACAAAATTACACTTTTGTTGATTCTTAAGAGAAAGTTTCAACTATATTAAAGTCCTCTTGTGTATAAAATTTGAACCAGAATGACAGAGAACAGAAATGAATGGAACAAAATACTTCTAAAATAAAACAAATTCTGAAATCAAGACTGGTTGATTTATGTCAATTTTTTCTACTTTGTCCGGAGAAAAAATAATATACCTCAACAAGGTACTTTCATCTATATAATAATAATTATTTGTAATTGTTTTCATAATAATATTTGTTTTGCTTGTAATAACTTAGAGCACATAAAATCTGTTTTATGTTTAGTCTAGTCTTTGTATCTATGGTGTGGCTCAACAGTTGACTGCCCCAAGAATGTATCTTGATTTATCTGCATGTTATCAACTATGGGAAGTATTCTCACTTTCGAATAACATTATGGGTTTAAATCACACTGAATTATCCCACTTCCCTTCCTTTTGGATAAATTAAAACTCCAGTTAACTTGGGGCTCACTAACTTTTGGGCCACTTTGTACTCCTTTTGTGTTTGACGGTACGTTTAGAATATGTTTTTGATTAATCTATATTGGTTAAAAGAATTCAATAAATAATATCTCTCATAAAGTGAACTCTTTGGGTTTAACCCAGGTTCATTAGGTTTTTTTTATATATAAAATTTGTTTTATAAATCTTTGGATTTTTATATTGTAATGGGCCTGCTATAAATACTGTGCTTCCAAATATTAGTGAATAGTAAGTATTTGCGTTATGTTCTCCATAAAACTAAACTGTTATATTTCCCACTTTTACTTTTCATAAATAATATTTGTTAATGCTTTTTTAAAATGGAATATTTTTTGCGGTTGACTTTAAATCTTAAACATCATTTTGTTTTGGATTCCAGGGATCTGAGCGACCTTCTCGAATAGTTTCCAACTCTCGAGACTTTTCACAACCACGTACGGATTCAGCTGAAGACTTCTTTGGCTATGCATCACCCTCACCCCAGCAGCATGGAGCATATAGAGCAGGAAGTCCAAACAGGTGGTCCCATTCTTCCGGAAACACTTCACCATCATCAATGACCCGGAAGAGTTGGTCAGAGTCAAGTTGTCCAGATGATGCCCCGCCCTTACCCCCACGTTCTGATAAAGGTCAGTACTGTAGAGCTAAGCCTTAAACTAATTAATGTGGTTTTAATTCATTAATAAAATACTTTTCATAAAATAATCTCTCATTCTTTTCACAAGAATAACAAAATGGAAAAAAAAAGTTCTTCTAAACTACGATATTTTTCCATCATACACTTATTAATGTATTTGTTAACAGTAATGGGCTATTATTTGCATTTCTGACATGAGATTTGTGTAAATTTATTCTGAAACTTAATTTTCTGTTTCTCCAACATATATTTACTTACACCAAATCCATTATGTGAATTACAACTAAATCTAGAGCTTATAAAGAATATTTTCTCCCATTTTCATACTTCAGAATAACCTTTTTTTTCTCATTTTGGTATTCTTGTGAAAAGAATCAGAGATTATTTTATGAAAATTATTTTATTAATGAATTAAAACCACATTAAATCGTTTAACATATAGAGGGAGTTTAAAACATATATAAAGCTTTAAGGTCAAAAACACACGGGAAGGTTTACATCGTTAAGTTGGTCTTGTTAGAGAAAGCTTTATTATAGAAACTGAAGGGTATCATGGATCGTACAAAACCTGTATTTTATGCTTTTATGTATGTGTGGTTTTATTTATTTCTTTTAAGTTAACAATCATTTTTATATTGTTTCATCTTTATTAATCACTTCCTTTTGAAAATATATTTGTTTCCTTGTGTGTGCGTATGTGTATACATATTTACATCTATGTTATGCTAAAATTCATTCTGTTGAAGAACTATAAACAGATACTTTTTTTTTTATATACAATCGTAAGCTTCAGGGCTGGTAAAGCTATAATTGCAGGTTTGACTCCTAAGGCAGACACAATTCAGATAGCCTATTGTGCAGCTTTGTTTGATAAACAATAAGAAACATGAACATTCATATGTAATAACACAATCTGTTCTAATCATACTCCTGGATTCTGGCAAAGATACATTACTCTGTTAATTAGATTCTTGACCTTAAGCGAAGCCTATCTCCACATTCATAATCCACCTTTTTGCATTTGATAACTTGTAGTTATGAATTCTGTAATATTCAAAATAACATTGTATGTCATTAATATTTAGTTGACTTCTTTCTTGGAATCTTAAAAATTCACAGTTAATTAATTATGAAAATTTTATGTATAATTGTTTATTAAGGGATGAAGAAGATTGATTTTTAGGAATCTGTTGCTAAGGTACCAGTATTAGATTTCATAATTAGTTTGTTTCTCTGTTGCTAAGGTACTAGTATTAGATTTCATAGTGAGTTTGTTTCTCTGTTGCTAAGGTACTAGTATCATAATAAATTTGTTTCTCTGTTGCTGAAGGCCAGTATCATAGTGAGTTTGTTTCTCTGTTGCTAAGATACTGACATGATTCAATTTATTATCATACAAAAAATTTTGCTTTTTTTTTTATAATAGTCGTTTTACTTGTTGACGTGTACTATTTTTCTAAAGTTGAAAGTGCATTCTTGCTAAGCTTTAACCAACTAAACTATTGAGTTTTGTTATCATTTCAGGAAATGAAAAACGTTTGACCACTACTTTAAATGGTTCACTAGGTACTGATGAATCAAAGCCTGCACTTCCCCATCGTGTGGTCAGGAAAGTAAGTTCAAACTGTTTTTGTAACGCTTGAAGTTCTGTTAACTCCCAGTTTATGATTTTGACATGCATCGTAATATTAACAAAGGAAGGACAGGATATTTTGTATTATCACTTGTCATTTCACGCTTCATTAACTTATTGCTTACATTGAATATAAACTTGGTAGTATAATATTTATTTTCATCAACATGTTAGTATAGGTATGTCTAAGCATGAATCCTGTTGTTTAATTAATAATTGTTCAAAAACTATATCATTTTTTTCAGCAAGGATCAGCTCCATCAGTGATGCTTCAAACACAAGAAACTCAGTCTTTATCAGTATATTTAGATTCTACAGCTTCATCATCATATGAGGCTTCACCATTACCTTGCTCTCCTGTACAGACCCCTGAGACTTCGGTCTCTTTTGCTCGAGAGCTACCTCGACCTCCACCTCCCATCCCGGCCAAAAGATCTCTTAACGGTGGACGAAATTTCAACCCTCCCACACCTCCAAACACACCCCTTGATTCTCCATCAGTAACTCCGGACTCTCCATCTCGAAGCATGTACTCTGTGACTTCCTGTCGAACTTCTGTGTCTGGCCAGAGTGCATCGTCAGCCAGCCATGACTCCTAACTGTTTTTAAAGTGATGGTTGAGGGTCGTGTTCCACATATCATGCTGTGTTATTTAATGTAGGACCATTAAATATTCCTCACTTGTTGGTCGTAGCCAAGAACTATGGAAAATTGACTAGATATCGGTGTTTGTTTTTTATTAGCTCACACTCATTCTTGTGCTTGTAAGTTCCATCAAAACATATATGTGAATAATATTTCGTATTAAGTCGATTTTTCTCCCCACTGGATGGGATATTATTCATTTCATCAATTTTTTGTGCTTTTTTTTCGATCCTTTCAATTCTTTGTGTGAACAACACTGTTATTCTCCTCTTTTCTCACTTTTGTAGGTCACAAGACATTGTTTAAGGGTAGTAATAACCAAATTTGATGTCTCGTTTGATATAACTGTGAACTATTGTGTTATTAAATTCATAACTAGATTGTTATTATTCAATAAAAAATAAAACCTGCTGACCTTGATGTGAGATAATAGACTAGCAAATAACAATTTGTTACGTTAGTGTTAAGTAACTATATTAAAGTATAATGATATTCAAAAATCAGTGACACAGAACAACATAACAATGATTTTATCAGGTTAAATAAAATAATTCTGTGTGAAAAGCTCATTTAATACTCTAGTAACAAGTTGTTTGGCCCAAGTTCATGAATTAATTTTAAAAAACTCAGTTCATGCAAGGTAATCACTACAACAATACTGAGTGAACTAGACAACAAGGTCCGAGGTTAAGAACTACACAGTTTCAGTCTGTTTACAGTATTTAATAACTTACTGATGTCAAGGTACATAAATTTACTAAAACTTAGTTACTGTAAGGTAACTAATGTTCCAAGAATAGGTTTTGTGTTTAGCATTGGTGAAAAATAATTTGTGAAATGTGAGAATGGACTATTTGTGATGACCAATAAATTAACCTAAAATAACTAGGCTGCCATATTACAAGGGTTTTACTACTGGGCTTTGTCAAGATATGTGGATTCTCACAAAATAAGCAGATCTTCAATTAGGAATCTTGTTTTAAAAATTATCACAAACTTAAACTCACCGGCTGTGAGATTCATAACAAAAAATAACTATTGAGCACTTGGAATAAAGACAATAAATGAAGTATTAATGCTACTGTAGCAATATCTTAGTGTTTACACGAACAGCATCAAAATGTTTAAAATTCAGATTCTAAACTTAAGTAATTCACATTTTTACTTCAAAAAAATAAATACAAAGTTCTGGCCTACCAATGAATTATACTCACAACAGGTTTCTTAATTACTGACAGGAACAACACATATAACATGTGTTAATCATGAGAAATTCTTGACGTCTTTTAGTAAACATTTTCCATTTCCTGATTCCAAGACTCATTAATTCTATTCAGCTGTGCGACAGGTGATGACCACAGAGTTCAGATATAAAGCTGGTTCTTAATCTACCATTTGTTACAATCCAGATATTGGCACATTGAAGGTGATATGAAGACAAACCACATCTAATGGTTGGAAATCATTAGCCTTAATGAATTTAACTGTGGTTTTTGTGTGTTACTATGTAAATTACACTCAATACTATTCCACGGTATTTCTATAGTTTTGTGTGAACTGACAAAGGTCAGAAATTTAAAGAAAATGTAAATTCAGTCTTACTAACCACCTTACACAAATTTTGATATTCAGTTTTAAACCTTTACCCTTTCTAAAGAAACTTTACCAGTATCCTTACTATATTACATAAACTGTAAGTTAACCCTTACGATAAACTTTAACAAAATTACTTGGAAACCTTCATGATTCTACACAGATAAATAGAACCATAGCTTGCCAGCCCTGAATCTTGATGTAATTCTACACAGAGTGCTGGTCACCTATCACAAGTTTCTGTTTTAAAGATTTACAACATTCTACAAAGCTACCTGCTAAGTCGACTCTAAACAAACATTAACTTAATTCATTCATGTTGTGATTATATTTCTGAATCTTGAAGAAGTTAAAATTTGAAACTTATCTACTCAGACATATTTCTTCATAGGTTTATTAAAGGTAAAATGGGTAGTATGATAATAACATACCAGAGTGGTTCTTGTGTATGAATATATGTGTTTTTTAACATATAGTCTTCTGATTTTAGTTCGAATATCTTTCTGTTAATTGTTTTTTGACTAAATGTTTTAAACTATTTTCAGTTTGTATTAGAATAGCAAAGAAAGTTTCAGAATTATAAGTAATATGGTAGAACATTTTTTAAAGGTAAAGTACAAACTGTTTTTAATGAGCAACTTTTTATAAGAAAATCAAACTTTAAGTTTTAAATTTTGAAGGAAGCAACTAGTCAGTCCAATTGTGAATGAAATTCGTAAAATATTATGTGTCAGTGAATAAAAATTATTCACAATCTTTGTATCTGAAAGTGTAAATACTTAATGAGTGAATTTCATGAAGGTAGAAATGCTAGCTTGGAAAATTTTGTAGACTGTGGTTTACTTAAAAGCATTTTACATGGAGGATATGTTGCTAGAATATCCAACTGTTTTTGATATGTTGAATAATATTTTGATTTTATCCCAACGTTACAAGACCTTGATTTATTATTTCTTAACTAACTCAATTCTAAACTTCATATTGTTGCATTAAACAAGTAAATTTTCAGTCTTGATAAAGGAAGGATTATGACTGCACAGTTTCTGTTAGTTTAAATCTCAGTAATAATCATAATATCCTTCCTGGTGACTAAAGTTTTGTGCCCTAAGTGTGTTGAAATGCTGATTGGTTTTTAAGGCTATAGTTTGTAGGTCTGGATTAAAAGGAAATTAAACTATCATTACTATTCCCCACCCTTCTTCTGTTCAACTTTAAATAATGATGAGGTAGTAGCAAGCCCTTGGATGTATGAATATTTACCAAATCATTTTTTTAATACTTGTTTCCAATAATATATATATATATATTATTCAATTTGTAGCTTATGGATTTCAGAATTACAGACATTTACTTTCAGAATTACTTGTTTGAGTCCTATTTAACATGATTATTTCTGAATATTATGATGTAAAACTTTTAGTTAAATGGCACTGTTAATTTCCTTTCCACTATTGTTTTACAAGTTTGTATAGTCTTATTTTGTTACTTTTTGTGGGAAGCTAATTCACATTCTACTCATTTATTCTGTACCCGTATTCAAGCATTTTTTTGATTAAAGCTTCGGAGATAGGTGACTAGTCTCTCTTGAATGATAGGGCAACTGTTTGTTGTTAAAAGAGAGAAACTAAAAACTTGAATAAGATCCTATTTTTGTTGATTAAGTTTAGCCAAAGACGCACACATCAATTTTTAATATCTCAGTTACTTTTAAGTAGTAACAATGTAATAAATCTAAGATAACTTTATCATTACTAATTTAAAGATACTGAATTCATATTTATTGATGTCAGAAAAAAGACTGCTCACTATTGTGGTGTTTTTATAGTTTTTTTATAATATGTGTGAACATTTTTTTAGAGTTGTAGTTATTCTATTATGCTAGCTGTTGTGTTTTTGTTTTTTTTTGTAATATATATATATATGTTCTATTTTTTAAAGCTGTCATTGTTATGTTTTAGTTAAACATTTAATGGAAACACCTCAAACTTGATTTATGTACAGAGAATTTAGTTTAGTAAAGAACTTTTCTTTATAGCCTAATGTTCGTGTGTAGTACCTTATCGACTATGTACAAAAATGTAATTATTCAAAATTCAGAAACGAGGCTTAAGTTATGAACAACTGGTACTTATATTAGATGTCTGAAAGAGAGTTTGAATTTTTGTAAAACTGAATTTCATTTCTAGACAAATTCTCTGTAACCAAAACGTTTTTTGCTGCTTATGTGACAGACATAGGTTTTGTTTTTTAAAAGGAAGAGTGTGTATGCCATACAGAACACAAACTGTGATTTTTTTAAGGTAGGGAAAGGACAGTTGTAAATCTTATGATTTCATGTATGGAGGGACAATCCACAGCTAAACAGGGTTTATTCTGTGTGGGGCAGTAAAAATTCAGCTGTGTTATTAATTTAAGTATTCTGATGAATAGCACACACACACACACGTACCTAATTGTTGATGTTGTATTTCACTCTACTGGTAGAAAAGTGGTTTGAAACTTATGCATAAATTCTTTAACGATTTTATATAATTTAATCGATGTAGGATAAAAATTATTTTTCAAAAATGTTTCTGTTACAAAAACGAAAGTAATTTTATCACAATGCTTTGAATAAAACTTCTTAAGTTGAATTAGTAAAACATGAATGTGATTTTGTGATAGATTAATTTGACAAATATTTTGTATTAACCTAGTTATTTTTACTGCTGGTAGAGTGACTCAGAAAATTGATATTTTTGTTGAAAATGTATTGTAGATTGTTTATAAATTATTTTATATTGTTTCTGTGACTTTTCTTTACGATATTCTTCAACAATCACTTCCAGTTGATCAGTATGTTGTAATTACAAATCTGAATGTATTTATTATCACCTAATTTACCAATAAAAAAATCTTACAACATGAACAGTTTCCACGTGTCCTTACTTGCATGCTACCACCTTTGTGATTAGATGAGATCTGAACTACCACTTGTACAGAGATCTTGTAAAATATACAGGTTCTACGAAAGAACACTAGACACCTGAAATTTTGTACCCATACAAAATGTCAATCAGAAACAGTTATTAATACTATATTATAATAGTTTTGTTGACTAATTTATTTTCAGCTTTTTATTAGAGTATATTGACATCTTAAATATTAGATGCTGTTACATGAATGACAAAAGATCAAAATGAATTAAATTGTGAGCTACTGCTATCCAACGAAGTGTGAGGGTTTTCGTGGATCTTATACGACTTATATAATACGAGGGTGTATCTCCCAACGGTTGAGCCTCAAAGAATGAGACAGTACGCAAATTTACACAAAGAACCAATCTTTAATTGAAATCTTAACAGTTAAAAGAAAAACAACAACTCGTTATAACACAATATATGGCAAGTGATCATGTGTTTATGTGTGTATTAAATACAAATAGGTGTGTGAATAGCAAAAACGACGATGACGCTAATAAATACTAGGCTCTTGTTATTTTGCGTGTTGTCCCCTCCTGTAACTTAGTCTAGCAGGTAAAAATTAAAAGAATCACAAACAAAGAATGTCCCAAGGTTCTAACGTAACACAACGAGTTAATTCTCGACCCAGGCTTACTAAATAACGATAATAAACCATATAATTTAAACTGAAAAAAAAGCTGTGGTCAAGTTATGTATTATTCACTTACTGGCCTAAGTGCCCGGATTTGCTCGGGTTATTAGGTTGATATGACCATACCATTGTGTGTATTCTGAACCCATTTTTGGATAAAAGTAAAACATATATACTTTTCTTGCTAAGCAACGTGACAGCCATTGTTGGAATTCATTGTTACCGTATGGATAATATAAGTAATACACAGGTGCACACCACCAGGGTCCACCTAAAATAAGTGAATTAGGCTTACCCACACGTCACTTCCATTTGCTAGCGGCAGTAGTAATTTTACTAAAATATAAAATGTTAGAAGAACTATATGATTCCTTTTACTCATTCTGTTACTTCACTATTTCAAGAACGAACCTTAAGTTAATTGTATGTCTAAACCGCCTTCTCTCAGTAATAATGTACAGTACACTCCATTCCGTCCGTATAAAACTATAAATGTACTTTATCCTTTTTAGCATGTGACGTTATAGCCTAGGGGTTAAAGGTTTGTTGCTGACTAACGTATTAATCTAGCCTACAAATGTTAAAATACTACTACATTATTACAGATAGTGGTATTATATTTACACAACTTTAAATAGCAAATAATATTGATAATAACACCCTTTTTCATTAGATTTGTCTCGCAGGGTCGGAATTTGATCGCTAAGGGCGATTGGGTAGGGTCAGGTTTCTTTCAAAACTGATTTTTCAGTAAAAAACGTATTTTCTACCTCAATCAATGTTTCGCGCTTCTTCAGAAGGCTAATACCTTACCAATCACATTATAATCACAGCTTACGTAGTAGCAATACAATTTAAGAACCAATGATATTAATGTGAAGTTAGTTTTTCTTAGTTTAATTACTGAAATTAAAAAAGCCGTAAGAAAAAAAAACGTTGACTGCAAAGACAAAAAACATTTTACACTGAAAAAGGCTTTCCTGTTTCCGTCACATATTTACACTACGCCACCTTCACGTCATTAACATTACAAATTACAATACATTGAACAAGTTGCTTAAACAATTTTTTTGTAAGCTAATAAATTTCAAAAGATCCAAAATTCTTCTTCACGTGTAAAATTTCTAAACATAATAATAGACAATTAATTATTAGTAATTTAGAAGTAACTACCTGGTTCATACTTCCTATAAAGTATAAGATTTATTCTATCGTGAAAAACAGAAAAATCAAATAATTATTGTCAATTAATTGAAGTAAAGTTAAAAGCATAGAAGTATAGCTACATAGTAGTATTAGTACTACATTTGTATTAAATAGTATATACTAAGCGCAATTGTAGTAGCAGACAGTGAAGAAACCGATGGAGG